GCTTGCTAAACTATGGCTGCGCGCATTCTACCTTATCCTACGCTCCGGCCACTTCAACCGAGCCAACCTACGCGACTAATTAGGCCGACGCGCTAACCAGGTGGAAGGGCGCGGGCGACGTGGGAAAAGATTGATCGTAACGCTTACGACCAAAACTGTTGGCGGCGCTTTGCTGGCCTTCTCCTAGACAAAAAGATAGTAATGGATTACCATCGCCCTGGTGTCGCTTTGCCAGCCTTCTCTCAGAAAAAAAAAATAGTAACACGTTACCGTTGCCATACTTTAGTTAACAGTCATCCCTCGCACGCCTACACCATCGAAACATCGTAAAAGTGACCCAGCCTAAGTGTTAATTCCTAGCTTTTCAGTAGTAACGATTTACCATCACATACAGTTTTCTTTAAAATAATAAACTCCAGTTACGTTTCGTACCCACGTTCCCACGATTGTGCATTGACCGGTCACTAGGCGGTCTCTATTCTTTAATACCTCGTTCCTATCGACATCCACCGCATCATCACTATCGCCATCCGCCGCCGCCGCCGCCGCCGCCGCTGTTAACTTCCGCCACGACCACGTCCTTCGTAGTCTCCGGTCGACATCCGCGGCCGCCGATAACATCGCTGGTCGCTTGTTCATACTACACATCCGGCAGCCGTCGTTTTCTCCGTCCGTATTTTTGGAGGTAATCCACCTGCTAATCTGATTCTCCCCCGATGGATGCTTTGAGTTTTGACTAGGCGTACATCCCCGTTTCCGGCCGTCCTCCTCACAAGCTCACATGGGCTGCCGGATTTAATAATTTCTTAATTGCCGCGAACCTGCAATCGCTATCTGCCATCCCCTCACCCCCCCTTATTAGTGTGTCAACTTTTCCCCTTTTGTTGCAGTGCAATCTCCTTTTTCTGTACAAATCCTCTGGTACAAATTCTACGCCAAGTTAGTGTAACACATCAACTAATCTTAATTAGTGGTAATCTGAATCCAGTTAACAGGTGGTAGTAATACAACTTCATTTATGGTAATCTGAATCTAATTAAGAAGTGGTAGTAATACAACTTCAGTTCTAGTAATCTGAATCTAATTAAGAAGTGCTAGTAATACAACTTCAGTTCTAGTAATCTGAATCTAATTAAGAAGTGCTAGTAATACAACTTCAGTTCTAGTAATCTGAATCTAATTAAGAAGTGCTAGTAATACAACTTCAGTTCTAGTAATCTGAATCTAATTAAGAAGTGCTAGTAATACAACTTCAGTTCTAGTAATCTGAATCTAATTAAGAAGTGCTAGTAATACAACTTCAGTTCTGGTAATCTGAATATAATTAAGAAGTGCTAGTAACACAACTTCAGTTCTGGTAATCTGAATCTACATTTTAACACATATGTGCTATTCTGTTTCAGGACAAATGAAAGTCGTTGGCACACGTCCACAGAAGGTCCGAAAAGTTACGATTCAAGACAGTCAAGATGCAGTCACCTATCAATTTGATGATCCACCATTAGTTCCCCCTACGGCTGGGTTGCAAATTACTATCCATCCTGCTGCAGCCTCATCATCGGAGCACTCTGTAGCACAAGAAGCGGCTCACAATACAGTTGCAGAGGAGTGTCCGGCACAGGCGGTACCGGGTCAACAAACTAATCCTAATAACACATCAACATCTCACACTTCAACGGGGATCCCCCCGTTGGTTTCACCCATTGTTGCTGGAGGGAACACTTCGGTCGGTTCCAAGAGGTCGGCTGCAACAACATGCAACCGTTCCAACTCCCATCAATATGAAAATGACGATGATGATTTTGACCCCCCGCCACCTAGAACTGCTCTTACCCGGAGGACCGACCCGCCAGTCAAGCGGCCAAAGGTAGCTAAAGCTATATCATCCACCGCCGGTCATAATGTGAGTTTTATCTCAAATGCCCAACTTATTTTCTGTGAGTTTTCAAACTTTGTTTTTGCTGGCCTCAACAATACATTTCATTGTTTTCCAGGGAAACCAACCATCAAAACCGGCACCAACCATTAGGTGCTCACCTGGATTCGTGCTCTCTGCCATTGATCTATTAACCGAAGATCAATATGCAAATGTCAAGGCTACTCCATTTGGTGAAATTCTGAACCTAAAAGCTGATGCTCTTGAGTCCAGGAATTTGCCGGTATTCCTTATGAACAAGACTGACAAGGACACTCTAATAATCAACGTCGGCACTCAAGGTGGACTGAAAATTACCCCGCATGATGTGCATTGTGTCATGGGCACTCCACTTGGTGGTCGTGACCCATCGGTCTGTTCTGTCACCCAAAAGAATGAGCTGCTTAGA